GGAAATGATTTAAAGTGCAATCATTCTTAGCCTTGGAAGCTCTGCCATTTGCCACTGGGGCCTCTGAATGGGAGCAGGAGTGTTAGAGCAACGTTAAAACACCATAAAGCTGAGGAGAACATACGGAGCGCTCTCCAGCCATAAGGTTGCAGCAGTAAACAATAGCGGGCTGCTGACACATCAGGGAGAACTGGGCTGGAGGTGAATACATTATCCACAGCAAAAGGCAGGGCTCATTGTGAATCATGCTCAAGAAATGGGGCAGACAGTTCCTCTTAATGGAAAGCTATCCTCTAACCCCCTGAACACCTTCTGGAAAGTGTACAGTGTCTCCTTGTCAAGTCTTAGGAAACTGGGACCTCTCGCCATGATAGTATCCTGCTTTCCACAGCAGCTGGCGCCCTGTGCAGGTTCCTGCAAAACTTATGAATATAGCTTTAATTGACAATGCCATGCAAATGCATTTTAATTACTGCTTCAACAATATAATTAAGTTTTGAATTTATACACACTTGTAACCATGGTAGTTTGCTGAGCCGAGGGAATGAAAAGCAGTATTAATGAACCTACTAATTGAACCAGTATGCGGAGTACTGATGCCGTTACTTCAACAATATCATTGTCACTTGCACAATAATTTAAAATTATTTATGGTAATAAATCAGGAGGCTTACACATTCAATAGAACGGGATTTTCAAATGGACCCTAAAATCCTAGCAAGCTCCAGCTCCTGATGTGCTGGTCTTCTCCCTCCGCACCCCCTGGGAAAGCTCCAAGCTATGAGTTCACCACTTTCCCCTTTGAAATGTTGCTGTTAATTTCTTCTTGTCGCTATGCTTCATAGTTCTAACCGATAAATAAGTAGTCACACTTTAATGTGGCAACAGGAACTCTTGTAGCTACCAATGCTGTTCTGCTTGCTCAGCGGAGTTGTGTGTTCTTTCTCCCCAATGCTCTGAGTGACTTCTGAATTGTTAGAACTGAGGAATGTTATACAGGTTACAGAATGATTCAGGATACTGACTTTTTCTAATAGATCCACCTATTGCTTGGGTATGGATATTTCAGCTTGAAATTCCTATGACCTGATTAAAACAGCCCGTGTGATGGCCTGACAGCATTCATAAGTCTAAGAGAGGATGAATGTGACCCGTACCAATGATGATCTCAATCTGTTATCTCCAAAGAACTCTCCAGAAATCTATGCTGGTCATTAGTGCATTGATAAAGGAAGGGACAGGTAGGTTTCCAATTTCTGTTGAGGCTTGCATACAGAGGAATAATCGTATGCTGAAATCTTTATTTGGGTTTTACACTTACTTTTGGCAAGCTTATTCTTGTGAGCCAGATACAAAATGATTCTCACAGTGAAGCTTTTTAAATTAACAGACTGTTTTTTTTATGGCTGAGAAAAGCACTGGACTTCATTCAAGAGAGGTAGATCCATCCACGTTCAGCAAAGAAAGCCTTGAGCTCATGATGTTTCGGTTTGTGCTGTAACCTTACAGTCTGCTCTCAAGGGTTTCTTGATTTTTGTTTTGCTGAATGTCGACTTTAAACAGGGATTATTTGAAAGATGTCAACATAAATCATACATTTTAAACACATTTATTGGGACATTTGGATTATTCAAATCCTGTGTTCATGATATACATAAATTAAATTTTTTTCAAGAGTACAAAGTTAATAACACAATAAAAGCACAGACATGAGCATTTGTTACCATGATAGCAATATATATATATATATATATCTTGCTTTCCTAAGTTGGCCCCATTAATATGTACAAATTCATAAATTTTATTAAGTTCAGCAAATGATTTTCAAGCATCTATCTAGTTGGAGCATTAGCTTAAATGCAATAATGGGCTTTTTTTTTTTTCCCATTTAAAAGAACATAAAAGGATGTACTTCACAACCGAAATTAAAAAGCCTCTTTAAAGAGCAAAAGATTATTATGGATCAACTATTTTTTCATTTCCACTTCAACAACTTAGTATGAAAACCAACACACTTTTTTAATAGAAAATCAATTTATCTCTTAGCTTGCTGGTGTAGGGTGACTGAATTCACAATCTCAAACTATGATGTTGGAAGCAATGCAACACTCATTCACTGAAAATTTTGTTTTAGGGGATCTCTGCCTATTTTTCCGGTGATTGTGAAAATTAGAAGCAGAGACAGATTCTAAGTGTAGAGAAGATGAATGACTACTGAAGGTTCAGTTCATGACAGTGCAATGGGGCCACTGTTCCTTTCTTTGTCTTTGTATTTTGCATATTTTATTGTCATGCTCTTTGTGTATTTGATGCATACCACCTCTGCTTTCTCAAAAACCAGAGCAAGGGAAAGGCAGTGAAGAGAAGAGACAAAAAGAATAAACCTAATAAGCAAGGGATGGTCTATTGCTGAGAAAAGATGTCACGATTTGAACAGAAATGGGATATATGAGGTTGAAAGACAGACATCTGATCACCAATAACTGAGCAGAAAAAGAGGAAACTACCAGGTATTACAATATTCTGATATCTTCTAATGACATAATGTGATTTCAGGACAAAAGCTGAAACATCCAAAGGTAGTGTCAACCAGTAGCTTGGGAAAACTTCCAAGTGCTGCTAACAAACTTTCTCCTTCTGGGTTTGATCGATTCATGGCAATAAATAATGCACTTGCCTGTTAGCATTGCCTTATCTGTCTATTCATCCACATCAATGCCTATATGGATTCACAGATTAGAAAGGTGGAAAGTGATGTTTCTTTTGCCCTATTTTTACTGGTGTGATGCCCAAGGCAGAGGAACACAACAATGAATTGATGTTAAGATGGTTGTTCATTGTTAGAAGTTGCTTCTCCAAAGTCACTTATCCAACAGCTGGTCTATGGTAACCTCACAAAAGCCAGGACACCCACGACTGTGAATGATTTCTTTCTTTCTTCCTTCCTTCCTTCCTTCATTCCTTCCTCTTTCTTTCTTTCTTTCTTTCTTTCTTTCTTTCTTTCTTTCTTTCTTTCTTTCTTTCTTTCTTTCTTTCTTTCTTTCTTTCTTTCTTTCTTTCTTTCTTTTTTCTTTCTTCCTTCCTTTCTTCCTTCTCTTTCTTTCCTTCCGTCCCTCCTTTCTTCCTTTCCTTTCCTTTCCTTCCCTTCCCTTCCCTTCCCTTCCCTTCCCTTCTTCCCTTCCCTTCCCTTCCCTTCCCTTCCCTTCCCTTCCCTTCCCTTCCCTTCCCTTCCCTTCCCTTCCCTTCCCTTCCCTTCCCTTCCCTTTCCTTCCTTTTCCTTTCCTTTTCCTTTCCTTTCTTTCTTTCCTTCCTTCCTTCTTTGTTTTTGAAAATTTGATATTCAAACTCTCATTCCTTTTGAAGATGACTTGGCACTTTGATATTTTGGGGTTAACAATTCTTGATTCGGTGGCGGGACTGGGCTGCACTGTCAGATAACAAGTAATGCCTTGGACTCTGTTACCAAGAATGGTAACTTACCAACCAATTATAGCTTCTAGATATTGCTGAGTATCCTGGGGAAGTTCATCTCTCCCAGTTAAGAAGTATTAATTTAAAGTAGTAACATACCAAAGGACAATACCACCATATACACTTTCTGCCTTCTATTTCCTGAGGTTAAAGATATGGGGGAACAGCTTCCTTCACTATTTAAAAATATAGTGGGATTTGGTAGCAGTACACTTTGTTAGGTATAGAGAACATCAAAATATCCATTTCATCTTAAATACATATATGTATGTACACACATATGAGATCACCCATTTGTTCAGTGGGCTCTTTCTGCTTTGTGGATATATAAGGCCCTTCCAGTTTGGATTGTCTCCAAGCTTCCTTTATAACTACATTAGGGAAAGCACTCCCTGGAATTAATCACAATCAGACAGTGGACAATGACCGAGAGCTAGCACGAAGAAATACTTCTCTTAGAAATTCCTAGAGGGAAACACAAATTGATTAGAAAATGTTTCTTAATTTTGTTGAACAAGAGTGAAAATGACTAGAGTCATTCAAACATAATTATGATTTTTATACAGTTAATCCAGAGATAGTGAACACTTTGGCCAAGTGGAATACAAAATGGTTGTCTCAAGTTTAACACAGAAAACATGGTCTATTGGAAGGGATAAAAGTTCTTTGATATTTTGTGTAGAGCACAATAGTCAACTATAGAGTTAAATTTAAAAAAAAAATCTAAACTGAATAATCTTAAGGGTAACACATTTTTTTGTTTGTTTTCGGAATATTTGCATAAACCATCTGTCCTCCCAGAGTTATTTCTATGATTCTGTGGTAAATGCTGTATTGTTTTTCAAAAATCAGTTTTCAACTGCTATCTTTGCATCTGAGGAGTCTATTATCTTTTTATTCCAGGATTTCTTATTATTTCTGATAGTTCCTAGACAAGTTCTTCTTGTTTTTTGTATCCAGATACTCTCAGAGTCAAAAATGTTGACATCACTTTATGATTATCTCTGAAATATGTTTAGATTTATTAAGTGAGTTATTGATTCCATGATAAAATAATTCAGGGAAAATGAACAGCTAACTACCTTATGTTGTTTGCAATACTGATAAAAATTAAATAGTTAAAAATTATCTTCATTCCTATCTATAATTGGAAGACACTCATTTACAGAGTGGCTTTTATTTGAAAACCTGAAGAAGTCTACGGCCATACCACCCTGAACGCGCCCGATCTCGTCTGAAAACCTGAAGAAAAGAAGCCAAGAGACCAAATTAAAAGTGACCGTTAAAATTTCTACTTTTGTCTTCCAGTAGATCACACAGGTGAGTCTGAGATTAGTGCTGACCTGCAATTGTGAATTCAAGAGTTCTTGAACTTACCTTGCAATCACAAAGAGTACACAACTGACCCCCAAGCAGGCTAGGAGCACGTACATCCAGATGTCTGGCGACAGGGGGTTGAGGAAGGAGAAGACACCTGGATTAGTGCCGTTGGGTTTCCGGTACAGGATGCTGATGCCCAGCGTCATGAAGGGCTTGGAGAAGTCAATGACCTTCTCCCTGACATAGGTGATGGTCAAGGGAGCCACTGCCAGATCAGCCCTCTGCAAAGGCAAGTTACAAACTGTCAGCTTGGGTGTCACACTTCTCTGCAGCTGTGTAGGACTTGCTGAGTTCTCTTGATCCTTAGTCTCAGCTTGAAATGTTTCTCATACATGAAGCCTCCTTGATGTTTGGTTTAATATAAAAGCCTCAGTTTACATATTTATGCTTATTAAATAGTATTTATCGATAAGAAGAAACTAGAAGGCATGAGAGAAATACACATAAGCATTCATAAATCATTATGGGGATAAATGAGAGAGAAAATATAAGACGATTTCTTAAAAAGGGGCATATGAAACGTGAATTGGAGGGCATCATGTTAAGTGAAGAGATCAGGCACAGAGAGACAGGTGCAGATTGTGCTTGTGTAAATGTTGAATCACTCAAAGGTTGATTTCATGTTAATCTGTCACCAGCAATGTACCTCATCCAGCTTCCTCTAATTTGTTTTACCAGAACTCCATTAATCTACTTCACTCTTCCTTGTCAATAGTAATCAATATTCCGTGTTCAAATGAAAGTGCTTTCTTTGAGGTGGGAACTTTTTGCATTTCTACCTCAAAATTCCCATCTTGTAAATTTAGAGCTGTTTTGAAATGAAGATTGATCTCACCAAGAATAGAATAATGCTTGCTAGTACTGAGACAGGGGATGGGGGCAGGATGGATGGAGGGTTAAGGAAAGGATGGGCTGGATAGGGGAAATACCATGCCACAGCATGCAGGGATAACGATGGGTTACTGCAATGCATTACACACTGCAAAGTAGCTAGAAGAACAATTTAGAATATTTACAATACAACATCTGAGCAGTGGCTGTTTTAGCATATATTGAAATGTTACGCCATACCATAAATGTGTATCATAATGTATCAATTAAAAACACAAACAAGTGAAATTCTACAATACTAGAAATAGAGAGGGGCATGTGAGAAAATAATGAACAAGTTGGTCATATTAACAGATAAGATACAATTTTGTTATGAGCTTAGAATTTTTTATCTAATTTAAGCACCAGTCCAGTTGATAAGTAAAAAATATCGTTTTTTAAATTTTTGTATTCCTTTTAAAAAATACCACTTTGATAACATAATTTTTAAAAAAATCTTCTGATTGAGTCATTTTTCCCTGTGTCTTGATGTTTTCTCACATACGCTGAAACCCAGATGGTACTTTTTGCTTACATGATCTATGAGTTCTTTGACCATCCCATTCCATTCTCCTTTGTCATTCTGTGCTCCATATTTGCCATCAGGGACGAGCTTAACATCATAAATGAAACCTAGAATGTTTGACAATTCTTTCAATAGATCCAGGCAATACCCTTCAAATCTTTCATTTCCATACAGAGGTTTATCTGATTTCTTGTACATCACATAGGGTTCTTCCTGCATAAAAAACCAAGTGTTATAGAGAAGTATTTACTCCATCAACAGCCAGAAAACAAAATATTTTGATAACGAATTTTAAGAATGTATTTGAAATCCATTACTTATTCTGTTCATCTAACTGTTGTCCCACCTCTGCCCTCTACAGATGCAAAACACTTACTGTTTCATCTTTCCCTTCTGCCTCTTTGGATGTAAGTTTTCCCTCTATGCATGAGGGTGGAACTGTGAGTGAGTGGTGTGATAGAAACACAGGCACATTCAGACTTTGTATGTGGGAAATCTCAGAGGGCACTGGAGACCCAGTTGCCTTGCCTCCAATTGTGTCCACAGCCAAGCTTCCTTTGTAAGGCTCTAGGATTTTATCAAAGAGCCCAGTGTCTTTTCAAAAGAGTACTTAAAATTAGTAAATATCTCATTTCATTCTTCGGGCTTCCCTCCCTAAGATTTTTTAAATTTATTTTATTTTATTAATTTATTTTTTAAGTTTTCCTAATACAGTTCCATAGGCATTTCCATAGGAAAATTCCATAGGAATTTCCCCTTTCACCCTCCTCATTCCTCCTACTCTCCTCTGTTTTCCTCCATATTACAACAGTATAGTCCTTCAACAACATTCACAAGTCTATCATCCTGCTATTTAGTCATATCACTAAGTGTTCCTACTTCCTCATCTAAATATCATATCAACTTTAGTGAGATCGCATATCTTACAGTTTGGTTGAGTTCATTCAGAACATTCTATCCCAATGGCACTACTGTGTTTTCTCATTGGTTCAATGTTGTTCATTGAAATCGGCTCACATTTCACACCTGGAAAATCGCTGTAACAAGTCTCTCAAGACTACTGAATGTTTCTGCTATGTATAACCTTCGTAACACTCATTTACCCAAATGAAAGTTCATTGTAACTTGGAAAATTGTAATAGTTACCAATGTGTTCATTATGTTTAGATTTGCCTTCAAATAGCTAGTACTCAGATCATGCAAGTACAATACAAAATATTACATTTCTGTAAGTAAATTGTTTTGGCATTATAGATTAAAGGTATTGTAAGTAAAAATTTCAGAAAAAGGCTCCTTCATCCCAACTCTCTTAGGTGAAAAAAAAGGGGGCAAGCTATACAAAGAACAGGTGTATGGTGGCTGGATAAGGTAAAATCAAGGTTCTGACAGGGGACAAGACTTTAAATAATCTAATTTATTTTTGACAGTCAAGTAGACAGAAAGCTCCATTTGTTGGTTCATTTTTCAAATATCATCAGTGGGTAGGACTGTACTGGATTGAAGGCGGGAGCTAGAAAACAAAATCAGATTTCCCGTGTTGGTGGCATGGACCCACGTCCTTGAGCTGTCACCACTGCCTCCTATGATGTGCCTTGACAAGAGGCAGGAGTCTGGGGCTGGAGCTGGAATGTAGCACAGTGACTGTGGTGTGGGACATGATGCCTTAACCTCTAGGTGGAATGCCCGTTCCTTTGAAGGTGAACACTGGGGAGTGGTGAACAATGGGGTTGTTTTCTCAATTATGAACAGAACAGAGCAGGTGCTAGTGAGATCGTGAGCAAGTTATGAACATGAAGGGACTTATCACATCAGGAAACCAGTAAGACCCAGGCATAAGGTGGTCGAAAGGAAGGAAAGAGTGCTTCTGGAGCCCTTTACAGTTGGAGGCTGGACACAGGGTCATTGCCTGGGCAGGATCTGTGGTTACAGACTACAGAGATTCAGACAAAATCAATCTGTGAGTGCTTGGAGAGTACAGGGGAAGACCCTCTCTTTACTCTCTCTCCCTTCCCCTCAGGACTGATCGCAACGACCCAGTAGCCTGGACAGAGCGGAGGTGAGAATGGGTTGGAGGTGGTGGTAGACCTTGAGAATCCTGCTGGATACTTACAACTCAGTCCTTTTGTAAGTTTGTACAAATACATTTTTAAAATGTTTTAGTTACAAATACACATATACAGAATGAATCGTGTCATGATAAAGACAGCTAAGGGACCCTTCCAAGGTTAAAGTAAGGGTTTGGATAAGATGATTTCAATTCCCCTCTGTGGACTTACCAGAATGGTGGTGACAATGAGTGTTCGGTTGGCCAGTGAGTCAGTGATGTTGTTGGACCGGTCTTTGTTGCCCTCTGTCATATTAAGCCCACTGTTGGAATTCCAAATCCCAATCTACACAGAACACAGTACGTTAGAACTGCTGGCTTTCCATTGCAGTGACATTTAACCCAGAGAGAAACCTCTCCCACACCAGAAATGGGCACAAAGGCTTGCAAGTTGGGACACCAGGGCATCACAATGGAAATTACTCAATGTGGGGAAAGAGAAACAGTGGAGGAAGAAGTGTGTCGATGCAATGGGGAATATTTGTCCACTTTGGGACTGAGGAATGAAGACTCCTTTTTAATTCATTGTGTTTATTGTTCTTTCTAGTAGTTACAAATGGTTAATAAGTAACTGAGTACCCTGTTTTCCTCCTAACACATGTTTGCTGTACACCTATTTCTCTTCCAGGCGTGGTTTTATGCATTGAAAATCACAGACACGAACAAGACAGATGATAGTTTTTCCATAGTGTCACTTACATTCTGATACGAATTTTATGCTGCCCGTAGTGTCAACATGTTCCTTAAAATATATATAAAGAATGGGCCACACAGAGCAGGGAACATGGTTGGGCATTGAAAAGTGAAAGACAAATGGAAGAAAAAAGTGGAAGAGTGATAGACTAGATTCTAACACATCTTCATGGGGAATCAATCCTGGGCAGGTGCATTTCTGTGGGTCCCAAGAAGGTATGTGGACCCTGGTGAGAGCACTCAGAATATTCAGTTCTAAGGCTATGATCGGCAGTCTTATCTGTCCATCTGAGCATGAACTTCTTCAGGGAGGGCACTCAAGTTTATTGCTCTTTGATTCTCCTATCGCAGAACCAATCATGGGCAACACAGTAAAATCTTTGCCTTTTAAAAACCCACAACTTGCAATTTTCCCCAGGGGCCAAATCACTTCTGGATTACTATGTCATATGCAAATACAGGGTGAATGTCTCTAATCCAAGAATCAAAAATCTAAAATGCTCATCCAAAAGTCTTTGGAGCTCCAACTAGATAAAATATGGGAAAAGTTTCATATCTGATCTTATGTTATGGATCATAATCAAAACTCAGGTCCACTAAAAAATATTATGGAAAAATAGCTTCAGACTTAAGCTGCCTTGTTACGTCTTGGATCCAAAAATATTCAAAACTCCAAACCACTCTCTCTTTTGGATTAGGGATTCACAGCCTTAACATTGATGTGTTTGGCCCCTGGGGAATGTCAAGAGAAAATTCTAGGAAATTGAGTCATTTATCTGAGGCCTGTTATAGTCATTTACTGCCACATTCTGGAGAATAAATATTTCATAGCCAGGCAGAAACAGACAGGCATTTGCTGTGTGACCTTGTAGAAGACAGTAAACTTTCTGAGTTTTGGTTCTCTAAATATGAAATACTTTATAGAGCATTGGAAAGGATCCAGTGAGATGACGTTTGTGGAGATGTCAGCTTATGTTAAGGGCTACACAAATGTTAATAGGAAGGTTTATTTAAATGATGGTTACAGTGAATTTCTACAAGCCACACTGTTGTGAACAGAAAATTTGGAAGCTGTCATAAGTCTTTCTTATAAATTCAGAAGTTGATAAAGGAGCTATGGGAACAGAGGAAGTTAAATTTGCTGATAAGGAACACCAATGCTTGGACATATGTTGAGATCCATGGCTTGATGTGTAAATAAACTTTCTAGCAGTGTAAAGACATTTTCAAGGACAGGGGATCTTTTTTAAAGGAGTTTATTTTTCTGTGTGTATTTATATCATCATTTGTGAGTCATATGAAATTATTAGCTATCGATTCTCAGAATTCCGAGTCCTGTCTGCAGTTGCCTTGATAGGTTTATGTGCCTCTTGGAGCTTTCTGTGGATGCAGACTGGATGTCCCCCACATCTGTCCAAGTGTGAGTTCTACAGACAGACATGAGCGGAACAGAACTACGGTGTGTGACCTGGGAGAGATGCTTAACCCTTTTGTACCTGAATTTCCTGCCTAGTAGGATAGAAAGAAACTTACCACCATTAAAGAAACTATCATTTCAGAGAACACTGAGTCCCTTCCTTCTCAGATTTTCTATTTCTTTCATTTTACTTACTGGAAATTAATTCATCTTGACAAGTATTCTTTTTAGAGATATAAATGGTCTGGGAGAGTTTTGGCAACTATCATATATTCACAGGCTAGTGTAAACTATTTCAATTTCACTGGCGTTCTCTATGCTTAATTAGAGTTGGTAAGAGAAAGAAGCAGATTTTTGTAAATGCGGGGTTTGAAGATTATTTTTTGAGTTTAAAAGTATTGTGATACTGACTGCAAAGAGGGTGATAGAGATAGAATTGGGATGCATGCCAGCTTCATCGAGAGTCAGGCTTTCGGGGATCTAGTGTGTCGGGCACATGGAACGCACACAATTAATGTACTCATTCAGGAATCCTCAGGGTTGTTTTTTTTTTATTAGTTTTAAACATGGAAAGGGTGACATTTTCGTCTCATTCTTCTTAATCTCCAACCCTTCTCCCACATTTTTGAGGCAGAAACCCTTGTTTATAGGAAAAATAACTCAAGCTGAATATACCTGTACTGCTTTTAATCCAAAGCTACACTTTAGGTAGTGAGCTATTGATTCCTAATTCCATGAAGATTGTGTGAAAGTAAAATGGGGACTGAACATAATTCTAATTAAAACATAACTTAGACATTGAGGAGAAAGGAACCTAATTTTTAACGAAGTATTGAAGAGTTGAGAAACTGCTTTTAGCCACTCCATTAAGTAATAGAGTGTGCTCCCTTTATTTTTTTTTTCTATTAGTGTCAAAGTGTCAAAGTGTGTGTGTGTATGTGTGTGTGTGTTTGTGTTTAAAAGATCTAAAATAATACTTGAAGTTGGCATTGTGGAACAGTTTTGGAGCAAAACTTTTTTAGACAAATGCAGTCCAAAATCTTGAAATCTGATTTTTGTTTTTATCCTTCTTTCTACCAGCATGGAAAGTAAGCATACCTTGTACAATGTTTTCAGTCAACCAAGAGCCCAAGGGACAGTCAGGAAAAATGTTCCTCCTTACAAGAAGAGATAGGAGACTTTTTTTTCCTTTTAACTGTGTAGCAGAAGATTCTTTAAATGAAGACTTAAAGAGTATCAAGATCCAGTAGTGAAGTCCAGCTTTCCCTGGGCAGTGGAGAGTGTGTACTGTAACTCAAATCGCTCTGTCTCTGTTTTCACATGTTTTGATCAGCAAAATAGAAAAGAAATGTGTGTGTGTGTGTATGTGTGTGTAGAAGTGTGTATGTGTGAAGCCTAAGTAGTCAACTGGCCTTACTTGCTACTTGAAATAAATTAACAGATTGTCGACGAGCATATGTGTTTCTCTGAAGAAGAGAGAACCTTTCTAACTCATCGAGCTGGGCTGGAGAAAAGGTGCGCAGAACAGAGAGCGAGATACCAAGCCATTTGCATTCCAGCCTTGGACCACAATCTTGGAGAAGTGACTCCAGGAAGCAGAACCTCAATTTTCAAACCTGATGCCCAAGACAGATAGTAGTAATTGACTCATGGGAAGATGTGGAGTCCAGATCAATTATTAGCGGAGAGGGACACTCAAACTTCTAGAATGTTTGGGTCTGCCTTGTGCTACTGTGGAAGCTGTTGTGAAACAGCAGTCATTTGTCATTTAGAACAACCAAGGAAAAGGTTGAATGTGACAACAAAAGGAAATTAAGTCAACATTTAAAAAAAAAAACACCTGATGTAACAGAAGTGTGTTCAGATACCTTGCAAACCTCAAGAAGGTTCACAAACTCAAAATATAAAATTTTTTGAGTGAAGTGATCAGGTATATAGGGACAAAAATAAAGATATATCTGTTTTCCATATCATGAGCCTCATTAAAACATATTTAACGGAGGACTTCTTAAAGATTGCTGTATCTCTGTTTTGGAAAGAATCTCTAGCAAATAGTTGCGCACCACAAGAGGTCAGAGGATTGAAAACAGAGACTGGGGATGGATCTTTCTCTTCTCATGGAGTCTTCTTGGGAAAGACCAATGTGATTATTGAAACTGCAGGGGTCCCCTGTGCTGGGATGCACAGGGATGAACTGTTGGTGAAGAGTCGTAACACAGAACAGCAGACCACGGCATGTACAGCTTACAATGTGGGCAACAAAGGGTTGTCAGGGCAGAAAGGGCAAAAAGGCACAAAAAAGCAAAGCCAAGGAATTACATTCCTAGGATGCAGGGTGGATATTGCAGTTTAGTGGCAAATAGAGGACATTCCCCCTCCCCTGTGCATAATTTGCCAGCCATTCCTGATAATTTTTTGGCTTGGATGAATTCAGCATGGCTCAAGCTGTATTAGTGTAATAAGTTACTTTCTGGGGCCCTGCTGGGTTGACGTGTCTACTACCACTTAGAAAGCCGGCTCAGTTCTACATGTCTTCACTAGCAAGGTTTATTAATGATTAAGACAAGGTTATTAGGTTTGTGTTTTTTAAAAAATTAAAGAGGGATTTTTTTTCAACTTTTTAGCTACAGATTAAATTTTTTATTTTTTACATTCTGTGTGACTTATATTATAGTTTGAAAGAAGGTGGACCTGATGACCAAAGTGCTCAAGTGAATAATATGAAGTAATATAATATCTGTTCACCAATCAACAATTGTTTTTTGTTTTTTTTTTTTGCAAATAATTTGAGAGCAGGTGAGAGAGAGAGGTACTGCTATTACTGGTTGTTTCCCAGATCCAAATGTTGTTACTGTCTAACATTTGTGTATACAAATTGATGCATATCCACAGGCAACACAGTACTGTACAATGAACTATGAAATAGTGGGTGGTATAATTTACAAGATAATCTCATTTCCCTTCCAAGGTTTCTAATGGTTTTGTCCTCTGGAAACTGTGGTTCTAAAACAAATTGCCACATCTGAGGACAATAGCGCTTAGAACAAAGATAACTCATGAGAAAAGGGAATTTCAGAAAATGCCTCATATTTTGTCACACTGACATTGAAGGAGATGTTCTAGCCTTTTGAGAGAGGCTTTGGCCTATCTGATGATCAAATCTATTGTTGCTTTCTTGCCCCCTGGGGAAAACATTTTGTGATTAGAGAAGGAATATAAATGGACCAGTGCCTGCGTCTGTTGCTGTTGCCTGCGTTCAGTTCCAAAGGCGACTGATGCTGTCTGGGAGAAGCAAATCTATATAGGGGGAAATATTTCATCTATCATTATTGAATCTGCTGCAAGCCTCTTTGCAAGTCAGGATAATGTGGTCAGGAGGGGATGCATTCCATCACTCCACCCTCCCCTTAGGTGGAAAATATCACCTCTAAACTGCAATTGGAGAGCCACTGCTCTGGGACACTGAGGAATAAAGGATTTTCCATGAATTTCCCCCACCCCATTTCCAGATCTCCTGCAGTTGTAGTTAGGTACAAACCTTCTTCCATACTTTATACAAATGTTTAGACACCTCGCCAGCAGCCTTGGTTTCAGAGGGAAAAATAAAACAACAAAAAAATAACACTTCATTAAAATGGAACATGGAGCCAAAAGGTATCCCAGTATGTGAATCCCGAGAGTATTAAATCCCACCCCCCATCATTTGGAGTCTTGGCACTTAATTCAACATGAAGCCTGACAATAGATACTGCACACAGATGAACAGATCATTTGGTGGCTAGATTCTATTTTTAATTTCACATACATAAAATGACTTAGAGAATGCTTAGATGTGTATGTTAAAATGTGATATTAAGGGGATCTTCCTCATTCCTTAAAAAAAAATGTCTGCTTGACTGATATCAATCACACACACACACACACACACACACACACACACACACACACACACACACAATTCCTACACTAAAAGAAAAAGCATGTTTGATGACTTATTCTTTGTGGGTTTCCAGGTGGTAGAATCTATGTGCTTGTGAGAAAAGAGCTTTTTCTTAAGACCCTAGAACAGGCTGATACCCTAGAACAGGTAGAGATTTATCTTCTTAGCTCTTCAATGAGCTGTACTGGCCTCTCCCGTTTCCTGGACACCCAACCAGCCTTTGAGGAATTGAGCCCAAGCCACCTACAGAAAGAAGCGTTATTGCAAACTAGGAAGAGAGAAGCACACAGAAAATACTTTCATGTATTTCCACCTTTCACTGTAATAAAAAGGCACCAACAGATGGTGCATAATGTTGCAATGTATAAATAGCTATGAAGCCTAACAATGGTTTCTTCTATTTTGTCACTCATTTGAGCCAAAAAGATGTTTCCCTAACAGATTTTTCCCTTTCAATGCTGCACATTAAGAGAAGAAAAAAGGAGAAACAGGGTTGTTTACAGAATGAGACATTTTCTTGAGAAAAAAAATCAAAAGCTTTTCTACCACAATGGATTTTCTTGTGCTCCCTGAAGTTCAAATCCCACAGATCGATGAATGCGCTTGGTCAGCATGTTTAAGCAATGAAGAGCAAATTGGGAAGAAGAGGCCGAGGGTGTGGGGCTGGAGTGGCCTTTTTAGAAATATTTATTAATTTATCTGAAAGGCAGAAAATGAGGAGGAGTAGCCATTTTGGTGGGGCCAGACTGAAACTGAAAATCAGAAACATGTGTGACATGGATGAAGTGTTTTTCCTCCCAGAGTGCACATTAGCAGGAAGGCGGACTGGAAGCAGAACGAGAGACTCAAAGCCAGGCGCCCAGATGTGGTGTTTGGGCAACTGTTGTGCCAACTATCGGAGTGGTTTCTCCGAAACGTAAAACTTGCATACATAATGTGTATTCTCAAGGATGCAGGATAATTATTTTCTTCAAACATATCAATGCTAGTGGCATCTTTCTACTCTATTCAGACTCACTAAACTTTTGTTTCAATTCATGCTATTTGGGGAAAGGGAAAAGAGGTGAGTAAGACTTGTACCAAAAAATGCATTCTAATTATTGAATTGATAGCACTACCTTATTTTTAAAATATCAGCCTATTTCAAACCGATTAAATAGTCAATTATTTCCAAAGCATTAAGCATACATCTTGTTCACTACAGTGGGAAAGATGAAAGATTAGATTTTTGTTGTTCAGATGAGTAGGGCTTTCACATTGTTTTCTTTCGATTCTAAAGGGCAAACAGCAAACATTAATTCCAATTTGTAGTCATGCATACATAAGTTATTGTAACAAAATTTCTGAATAAGTTAAACTGATTTATAATTATCTAAACAACTTACATTTGCACTGAACTAAAACTAAAGTTTAACTTTGAGGGATTGGGAGTTAAAGTAACCCTGAAGTGAGAACCTGGCACTGATATTGTTTCAGTGTTTGTCCTAAAATGAATAAGATTGCAAATCTAACTTGAGCCAATGAGCCTCTCTTCTAATTTATTCTGCTCCTCTCTCATCAATCTTACAATAGATTGCAATTAAAATTAATTTGTGACTATCTCTTGGATGTTATTGCATAGACAAACCATTGATAGCCTCTGATTTTCCAAGTCTAAAATCAGCTTCTTAAAATACTTTAAAAATGGACGTGATAACAACCCACTTATAGAATTATAGATGTGATAACATACTCACATTTACAACACCAAACCAAGTACCCCGTAGACATCGTTTAGCATTGCTGTTAATAGCATATGCAACTGAAGAGTCTAGTACAGCATCTTAAATGAACATGCAAGAATCACTTGCTTGAACGTTCCCCTGCTTCTGTGTTAAATTTAGCTAAAATGCCCGAGTACTGTGTTCTTCTGCCTGGTATTTACTGATTTGTGGATTATTTGGGACGTTACCTTTTCAGTCCCTTCCTCTTTGAGACTAATAATGTCCAGGTCAAAGTCTTTTCTTAAGCCGTCTGTTTTATTGAAGGTAATGCGCCCAGTCAAGCCATCCCATCGAGCCTGTGGACAAAAGGAATGTGGTGTTACTGTGAAACACTTGCCATAAACCTAAATCCATGGAAATCTTAATATCTCAAAGTCATCACAGCATCTAACTATTTGGTTTGATCAGGCCACTCACTGTAAACAATTGTATTGGCTTAGCAACTTGAAAGCAGACAGCTTTACTATTTAATCACCATTCATGTATTTTGTCAGTTGTAACATCTTACCTGGAATGTTGTTAACCCTTATGGCAAGAGGGAAGGAATTATTGTAAAATTATGTTCACAAGGAGTAAAAAATGATTAGACTCATAATATTTGTTGTCCAAGGTCAATCCAAATCTGCTTCTCTACTGTATTTAATTGCATAAATTGTTACAAAAGTTATTATCCGTAATTTGTTTTCATTTTCATGAAATGAAATACATAATGGATATTCATGCTACTAATAATCTAAATTTTGACTTTGACTCGAGGCTGTGATGCTTAATTTTCTGTATCAACTTGATTAGGCCATGGGATACTCAGATATTGAGGCACAGGGTGACTTGTGATGTGTCCTTCAGTATGTTTCCAGAAGAGATTGGCATGCTGATTGGTGGATTTTGTAAAGTAGAATGCCCTTTCCGTGTGAGTGGATATCATGCAGACATTAAGGACCTCTGAAGTAGAGCAGAGGAGGAGGGGTGAACCAGCACTTTGTGGGGCTGCTATAGCTGCACCAGATCTCCTCTCCTGCTGGCTTTTACACTGTCAGCATGCTGAGTTTCTGGCCTTCTGATTCACACTGAAGTTGTTCTATCCACTTTCTTGAGATTATAATTTGTACATTGAAGATCATGATATGCCTCAGTCTGCATTTGAATACCTATGGGGCTTCTTGAAAAAATTTCTTGGGAAATGCGTATTACCAAGAAAGACTAAACATATGTTTCAAACTAGTTTTGTTAAAACTTATTGTTTAATCTCATTTTCATAAACTTTTTGTAGTTTTTTCAAACATGTAGGTACTCATCATATTAAGTGATAGCTTTGAATAAAATAGCTTTTAGTTCTGAAACTTTGTATCTGTAGGAAGATACTCTAAAGGACCCCGATTTTGTTGACAATCATTTGTCACATACCTGTGACCTCCAAGCTGAGTTATATAAAACATAAAAACAGAAATCAACATCAAATGAAAATATAAAACATACTACTCTCTGGGGAGAAAAGACAATTGCAAACGTTGGTTCATTTCATTTGCTGCTAGTTCATTTGGAGAATGTTCATTTATTTAGCATCTTCTATGTTCCAGAATCAATGCCTGGAATGCAGCATGCAGCAATTTATAGGAGGATGAGCATGCTCATGCATTTGCATAAAGCACAGCAAATGTAAGGATAAAGATTAGCACAGAGTGTTGAATCAAATGTGGAGGAGAAGCACTTATCCCAACAGCAAGGAAATGAGTCAGCAGAAGATTCCCAGAGGCAAGAATACCTGAGCCCTCTAAGGATGAGAAACTGGCTAAGTAAAAATTCACAGTTGAAGGAAAAATAGGAAATAAGGAATAAATTGCACATTTGCATAGGTTTGCAACGCAAGGTAAGAAATGCTGAGAAATGAGTGTGGGAAGGCTGGCACACTTTAATTCACAAAGGTGTTATGAATAATGTTAAAATTCTTAGATATTGCTCAATAGATGTTTAGGAACCATAGGAATGTTTTAAGCATAAGAGTGTTGCGGGTGAATGCACTTCATAGGGAGAGCGTTTTAGCAGAATTGGGAAGGATGGTGTGGAAAAGGTCGAGATTGTTGCTAGGGACATAGCAGGTTGTTCTCATAAAGCAAAATGTATATATTTGTAGTCATATATCCACATATGGATATAGAAATAACACATTTTAAATTCACCTGCTTCATCAACTTAAATGCAATTAAATTTAAAATCATTTACTTGACAGGGTGTCAGAAAGACAGGCAAATGGTTGGTTGATTGATAGAGAATTCCCATCCAATGGCTTATTCACCAAGTGCCTGCAACAGCCAGGCTAGAGTGAACCAACGCTGGGAGCTGGGTATCTAATCCCTAGGTGCTTTCCTTGTTACTCGAGCCATCACCAGAGCCTCTCGGGGTCCACTTTAGTAATAAGTGGAGTCAGAACCTGGATCTAAGAATGGAACCAAAGCGTTCTAATAGTGAACACAAGTGCCTTAGCTGACACTTCACCAGTTGCTAACCTGGATATGCTTCCCAATCACTATTAACAGAAAACAGTTCCACAGTAGGATGGACAGAATTCCATAAAGATTATGTCAACAAATCAACCTAAACATTGTGAAGCAAAATAGCTACTCAAAATATACTTAATGACAGACAATCAGGTGGAATGACTATCATTATAGAGGCACATTTTGTCATTGATGATGCTGGAATTTAAATAAAATTAATATCAAAATATGAGGCATGGACAGAAAAAGATCCCCCCTCTTGTTTGAATGGTCTGGAGGGCAAATTAGGTGACAGTTGCCCTAGCACCTGTAGGATGTTGAAAAAGAAAAATAAAAGCAGGGCCGTAGGGCTTATGGCCCACAGAGAATTCAGTGACACCTAACACTAGCACTAGTTTGAAACAGTGAGATAGCTTGACTGGCTATAACACAGTGAGTTACAACACCCCTTGCAAATCGGCATTCCGTTTCAGAGCAGCAGTTCCCATCCTTGTGGCTCCACTTCTGATCAAGCTCTCCACCCATTTCTTTACTTTTTAAATGATTGTTCTATTTTATTTGTAATGTTATGGTACAAGTCCATAAACTCTGAAATGCAGAGCAAGATGGTGCATGTGCTGAGCCCCTGCCATCCATCCAGGAGACTCAGATCAGTTCTGGACTCTTGATTTCAGCCTGGCCCAGCCCCAGTCCAAAGTGTTACAATCACTGTGAAGTTAATCACCTGATGGGAAGTCTCTCTCTCTCTCTCTCTCTCTTACTCTGCCTTTCAAATAAATAAATCTAAAAAAAATATAAAAATTTAAAAAATCGAGATGAATTTTCCTTTACTTGTCTATGGTAACACCTATGGTTACTCTGGCCGTTACAACAATTGCACATAGGGGATGACTTTCTGGCAATATTTGATATGCCTCCTGACTTGGCAATCTCTTTTTCCCCTTATACTTCAATTACACTTTTGCACTGTGCTCATCATTTTTATTTTGCAAACCCAAAACTGACTTTCAGAACTGGAGGGTTACACGAGAGCTCTGAAGCAGGTTCCAATGTTAGGTTCACAGCATCTGCCTGAGTGCTGAAAGCAATTAGTCCATGTTTTGGGGCCCATACAAAGCCCTTCAGTGTTAGGGGTTTATACAATATCAGTGTTCAGGTGTTTGTACTTCTAAATAAGGTAGGATTCTAACCCCTGCTGATTTGTTTGGAAGGAGGCAGTTACCTTGATTCAATTCTATGGAATTTTCCCAAGCTTTTCCCTAAAAGCAACTTTTCCCTGATGGGGGTCAGGTTGTGAATCAATTTGTTATATTGTCTGGAGTACAAGGGACACTGAAAATGTCCTGAATTGGTAGTATTCATCTATTTATGTAGTATACGGCTCATGGCAAGATCTAAAAACCCAGTTCAGAAATCCAATATCTTTTCCACTAAGTATGTTTATTGTGTCTGAGTTTTCCTGAGCTGGTTTTATTCTTGAGCTTAGTGTTCCAGTAACTCATGCAGAGTAATCCCCACTTCTCGCTTTCATCCCGGTTCATCCAAGTGGCAAAAAGCCTTCCTCTTGCCACTCTGACAATGCTTCCTTCAAATATCCAGACACACTGCCTGATTCTTCACAGAATTGTTGCTTTGACCTTCAAAGTCAATTTTTCCTCATTACTATGTTTGCCCATGTTTGCATTTCTATATATGTTCTTTGTATTTTAAAATGTTTATTAATCATTATGAATACTATTGATTAGGTCAAATGTACAATGAATAGTTCCTGGATATGATGCATAAGATTTATAAGGAATTCACTTTTTGGGACAAGACTAAAACATATGCAATTTAGATAATCATTTATAATTACATTATTCATAGCTACAATTTGTTTGCTTTATGTAGTCAAACATTGCAGTGGGGACAATTATAGCATAATTATCTGAAAACACACTTAAATTGTTGTCCCTATTTTAGGAAACAGCTTTAATTTCTACTCTGTATTAGGAACTTTTAACTTCTTAATAGCAATTAAATGACATAGTGTAATTTTTTTTTCTTTATTATTCATGAACTCATTTTCTGATAAACAAAAAATAGAAATTGAGAGGTAAAAATTAGAAAAATTTTCATTAATATCTTATTTATGTTCTCTTCTTAAGGTTGTACATAGTTTTTAAATTTTTATTTATTTTCATTTTATTTGAGAGAGAGAATGAGCCAACAGACTCTCTCTCTCTTTCTCTCTCTCTCTCTTTTTCTCTCTCTCTCTTATTTCCCCAAAAGCCACAACAATATGCCGGGTGGAAATCAGGAGTTCTAGAACTTAGCTATGGTAAAACACATGTAACAGAAGCCCACGGATTTGATTTGTCACCTGTTGTCTTCCAGGCCACCCATTAGTAAGAAGCTGGACCGAAAGTGGAGGAGTCAGGATGGAAACCAGACACCATTCCAAGTGATGTCAGCTACTGCAGCAAATGTTCACTCCCAGATGATGTTTATTACAAAATCATTTATAAAGGAATATCCCTTCTCTTCCCTGATCTCTTTTATATTTACTTTAAAAAAATGTTGTGATACAGTTCCATAGGCTCAGAGATTTCTCTCTTCCTATTCCCCAAATCCGGATCTCTGACCCTTGATTTATTTATGGCCCGATGACCCATTGTTTTTCATGGCACCCATTCAGCAGAGACTCCTTTGCACTCACAAACCACTTACTAGTTTTTGTAGCAATGCATTATTTTCTTAGAATTTGTGAAAAAAATCTGTCTGATTTTTATGTCAGAGCACAGTTGGATAAACTGATGTAT